ATAAAATAAACGCGCCCGTAAAAAATAATAGTAATCGACAGGGTGTTTATTATCTACAAAAAATATTATTCTTAAGATGAAGTAAGCAATTGACAAGTTTCACTTTTAGCTTTCGCTTTCAAAAGACACGCACAGACAGATTTACTATGACGCAAATTAAGTAATTTATCACGCTTTATTTTTTATATTATTTTAAAAAAATGCGTTGGAGACCGAACCACGCTGACGAAGTCGCGTTTATCTGCTAGTATATAATATGGGGACTACGAATTTGAGAATTTTATTCATTAATTTATAATTTGCATATAGAACAGACGCCTTATTAAAATTAATGTAACCTTTGCATTGATATATCAAAACTTACATATATTTGGTTTACCACGATTGACTAGGATAAAGCCATGACTGACCGGTTCGACCAGTTACTTAATAAAATGTATATATTTAGATCTGTAGGTATAATAAAACCAGTGCATTCGCCTGGACAGCTAATCATGTTCGTGGGATTCCAGTCTGATACCCCACACAGTAAGTGTATAACCATACTGCCGTCCTCAAGCTTAAAGGGCTAAATGACAAAACAAACTTTTGAGATATGGACAAAAACAATTCGTAAACTTTAAATTATTGCTATTTTGTAACCCTTCCTCACATGACGGATTTTTAGACTCAAAGTATAAAGGATTCGAAAACTTGTTAAAGACAGATCGATGGAGAATTAAAAACTGTATAAGATGCAATTGCAATGCAATACACACATGGTCCAATCTCCCTATTCCATCCACAGGGAAGGCCTGCGCCCCAGCAGTGGGGACATTAATAGGCTGATGATGATGATGAAGATGCAATTTAGGATTGAAAATCGACCACGTCATTTAGCCGCACTTTAGTTTAATGATGGCAGCAAAGAAATCCATACAAAAAATTTCAACCGCACGAGTTGAGGCAGTGCTGCCGGCCTATTCGTTGACTTTTTGACATTTACAGTGTGTAGCGAGTAAAGAGAAAATCGCATATCCATCAATGCTTTTCAGAACAAGTTTCTTGTATCTTAGTGGCGTTATAATAAAGCAGTAGTACCCCCTAGCATGAGCACCGCGATATGATATATAGCACGTTTTTATCACGCTCAATTGTCAAATTACTATTGAGTTTGACAGTTAGACACGATAAAAAACGTGATAAAATGTATAATGTAGTGCTCATGCTACAGTGACTGGATCACTAAATAGCTCTGTGATTATCACTTCCATCTGTCAAAAGTTGTTAGCGAATACACCCTTAGTACGAGTTTTACAATTATGAAAACTATGATAGTTTTCGTGAGCTCGCACTCGATTTTATTGTTTTCGTTTCAATACAAATAAACAGTGTTTATATTCTTCATCATTAAATCATTTGCGTCTTCTTAAATTTTGAGTATGTTTGGTTACTTTTCACCAAAACGGACATAGAAACATAATTTACAATTACGAAAACTATGATAGTTTTCGTGAGCTCAAACTCGTACTAAGGGTACTGGGGGCCATTCGCCTAACGGAAATGCTTTGGGAAACGCTAACGCTTTCGATTTCATTTTGTTATTTCTGACCGCCGAAGGTTTTCCAATACCTCACGCTCATTTCCTTTAATATTGTTATTACCAATAACGAGGCGAATGGCCCCCTGGTCGGGTGCCGGGTCGGTATAATGAGTTGTGACCACAGAACTTATAATTATAAGTTCTGTGGTTGTGACCTTAAGGCGCTATAATCACCGGCTCATTTGGTTTTTTTTTCTTTAGCAAATATGTACAGATTCCTTATCGAGAACCACTTCTTGACCGGCTCGGTATCGTTGCGTTTTGTTTGCGGAAGTGACGGGACGGACGGTAAGGTTCGATAGCATTCGGAAGCGCTCGGCACAGAGAGCTGAGTGTCCTCGATAAATTCTGTACCAATACTACTTAGGTACTCAGTAAGGAAGCTCTCATTTAATTTTATGCAGTCTGTAAAAAATGTACAGTTTCGGTACAGAAATAAAAACGAAAAGTACTCGCATCGACCCGGTGAGGAAGGCGATCGAAACTATTTTACTAGTAAAATTAAGTTCCTAAGATAAGTATTAAAATATAAAAAATGAATGAAATAAAATAAATATTTCCAACACTTACACCAATTAGCCTAGCACCAAAGTAAGCACTGGAGGCTTGTGTTATGGGATACTAGGGTAACGGATAGAATACATATGTATACTGTACTGTGTATACATAAGTACATTCATAGAGAAATACATATTAAACATCCGCGACCGGAGTACAAATGCTCGTATTTATCACATCTGCCTCCACCGGGATTGGAACCCGGGACCTCTCGAGTCGGCGACACCATGAAATCTGGCGTACAAACCACTCGGCCACGGAGGTCGTCAATATTGAACTAAGATTCTTCTTTAAAATTTTCCGTTGTAACTATAACAATTAGTTTTTAAACTTTCCCCTAATTTAACTATAAAAGTTTCCGTTCCCGTAGTAACAGGCTGTTGTTCATGTCGCGGTACATTATCTGTTTATTTTTATTAAAGTTTTACCTATATTTTTGCCTCTGGTAATTATTATGCGATTCAACTAAGAATAGGACCGACTGGGCGCCATATTTTGACGTCATAGCTGTCAATTCAAACGAAATAGGTAGAGTGAGCAAAAAATGTTGCTATTTAATAAAACTTATTTACTAAGATTGAGTGAGACAAAACATCAGATTTAATAAAATTAATTTACTAAGGTTGAGAAAGAACACAACCGATTTTTAATAGTATTCCTTTATTAATACTGTGTGAAAAAAAACATTAATTAGAATCTAGCTCTTCAATTTCGCTCATCTCCGCATTACCGCCGGAGAAGTTATGAATAATCATGCAGGTCACATACGAACATGCATCCTATGTGTAAACGAAAGTTTTAAATCGAGTTTTTTAACGCACCATAAAGTGACATTTGGTTCACGATTTAGGTTATCAACCATTCATAGCCAAAGCTCAAAAAATGAAAAAAAAACAATTAATATTAATTATCAACATTTGTTATAGTTTGTTTAAAAATGTTTGGTTTTTATTCTAGAATCAGCTGAGTACTTACAAAGTGTTCCGATATTTTTTTGCAATCCGTACTTTACAAGCGACATTTGACAGAAGGAGGTCATTGGCTTTCCTATTCTTATTTGAATCGCATTATAATTGGTTATAGCACCGGTATTGCATAACTAATATAGGTAGTAAAACTAGACACTTGCCTATAGGTACTAATAGGTACACTGATGAAAGTATGTACAGACAACAACACATAAAATAACAAATATCAATCGATCATGAATCTAATATCAAAGCGAGATAAAGCCCAAAGTTACTTGGTAAAATTTTACAGAGCTGATGTTGACAGTACCTATGGAAGTATGTACCTATGAACATTTCATTTCACAATTGGTACCTTATCGGAATCTATTAAGTATGAGCAAAATTAAACAATTAAGTTGCTATTTCAAATATGCACTTAAGAATTTAAAAGCAAATTACCGTTCGCAATTAGTCTATAAATTTATATTAATCGGAAACACGCAGTTTGAAAACATTTCGAGGGTAGATTTTTGATAAAATAGCTAATAACAGAGAAAGAGGTAACAAAAGGCATGTTTATATATAATAATAACGATCTTAGAATAGAAATATTTAGATTCTTAAAAGATATAAATAAAAGACGATATTATTGACTAGCGGCCCGCCCTCGCTTCGCTTCGGTGTAGAACTGAAGTGTACACCATAATTTTTTTTTCTCAGGCTTGTATTAAACACAATGACATTCATCTATGATTCTTCTTATACTTGCATGCAAAGTCTCAGCCCGATTGGTTTAAAATTGACAAAGTTTCATACAAAGTTTCATTCCCTATTTTATCCCCTTGGGGGTAGAATTGATCAAAATCCTTGCTTAGCGGATGCCTACGTCATAACATCTACCTGCATGCCAAATTTCAGCCCGATCCGTCCAGTGGTTTGGGCTGTGCGTTGATAGATCACTATGTCAGTCAGTCCCCTTTGACTTTTATATACATATATAGATAAAAACGGTCATTTTTATTACCTGTATGTATAATCAAACTAAAATTCTCATATTTACGTTATATAATCGGGATGCTCCGAACTGCTAAGCTATCAGGAGTTACACGTGTTATTGTGAGTCAACCATAAAAGATAGACATATGCTGTTGCGGGATATTTTTTAGACAATTTTATGTAGAATATTTCCGTCATACATAATTTCTATGTAACTTTAACCATTAAGGCTGCACACGCGACGGAAGCTGAAAAAATGGAGTAACTTCTCCCGTTTTCCCAACATTTCCCTTCACTACTCTGCTCCTATTGATTGTAGCGTGATGAAAAGTATACTATAACCTGCCCAGGAGTATGAAGAATAATTGTACCAAGTTTCGTTAAAATCTGTCGAGTAGTTTTTGTTTCTATAAGGAACATACACACAGACAGACAGACAGACAAAATTTTTACTGATTGCATTTTTGGCATCAGTATCGATCACTAATCACCCCCTGATAGTTATTTTGAAAATATATTTCATCTACAGAATTGACCTCTCTACAGATTTATTATAAGTATAGATAGATAATCATGATTTTGAACCTCGACATTTCAAATGTACTTACGTCAACGCAAGGACCATATTATTATTATTATAGAGGTCAATCATGCACATAGAATTTCTCTAGGAAAAGGGAATGAAACAGATGTTACATTTGAACCTAAATTTCTGTACCTAAGTATTTCTTCCTACTTTATATCCGTGAAGAAGGTACCTAACAAAAGTTTCTAAAGAGAACTGAATATTCTCAGCAGACGAAACCGCGGGCTAATATTTAAGCAGGTAAGTAACTACTACATATTTATAAACCATACCCGTTCTATCGCGGAGATATGACACAAACAACATGAAAGCGACCAACCAAACAAACCTTTCAGTTGTATTGTAGAACATCGCAGCCTGCCTTTTCATATCCTCCGCTACAGAATTATCCTCGTTCATATTTGCACCGCACTATACACGAATTGGACGCGTGTTATGGGGTCACTGTTTCACAATAAACGGGCGAATTGGAGGTTAATCTTTCGGGTGTTAAAGTAGGTTTTCGGTTGCGCGTTTCGCGGTTCAAAGGTGATGTCGGTTGGTGTTTAGAGGACGCCAAGTCGCGACGCCCGCGCCTCTGCACTCTCTGAGGCGGTCGATTCGAGCGCCCACTCTCGCGATCGCGACAACCCCCCACTTGTTATTAAAACGCGACCGCGTTTCCATTAACACACGGCTTCTCTAAGCGACCATACATAATATTCCGCACGCGTTAACCAGTCAAAGTAGTGTGTAATGTAATAAGAGATTTTGGTTTGTATAGTTTGCCTTACTAGGTAGTTTATTTACACTAAGTCAATCTCTACATGGCAAATTAGTTTTTTGTAGTCTAGTATTAGTTATACTCTAAGTCAGTCTTGATATCGTAATTTAGCTTTATTTTAATTACACATGAAGTTGAATACAGAGCTGCTTTTGAACATTTTTCTACCAAATTTAATTAACATTGACTCGTTTTTGTTCATAGGTAGGTGCTGAAATATTTATAAATAAATAATAACATTTATTGTCTCCTGATTGTGTAAAACTGACAATTAAATAAGTGTAGACAAGAACTATGTAAATAAAAACTAAGTTACAATACCATAAATAAATATTAGTCAGCAACATGTAAAAAAATATTGCAATAATGCTTAAGTGAAGTGACTAAGTATTGTGTTAAAGTAGTTTGATCATAATTTTATTGTGGAAAAAATGCAATAAATAAGTTAACTAAACTACAAACTAAAATATTTTTTAACAAAATACTCAATATTTACTTAGATTAAATACTAAAATAAAATACTAAATAGATACTAAAATATTTTTTAACAAAATACTCAATATTTATTTATTTTTACTACGTAAAATAATTAAAATAAAAGAATGCCTTTATTGATACTACCATTTATTAAACAATGATTAAAAATTTGAAAATTTTGTCATGGCAGTAACACAAGACCTCCAGCCTCTACAGGGTGTCTAGTTGATGTTCCTATCTTTGTAGAAATGCTGTCTTCTGCATGCTTAGTTTGGTATAAATGTGTATCTGATAATTAATTTACTATTTAAGATTTTGACAAGATATTTTTATGATTTCAATTTTGATGACACAGACATGCCGTGTATAGGTAACAAACAGTAATATGGTCATTCAAGTGGGAATCTAATGGAAACAAATCCTTATCAGAGGCACACAGGTAGTAAGCTGATAAGTTAGACCATGGCATACCTAAGCTAAAGCAATGTTTGTTAGAATTTGTTAATTAATCAACATTTTATTTGTTCACTCTGTGAATAGCTTGGAATGACACATCTGTGTAAATGTTGTGATGGCCTTGAAAGGCACAGGTGTGTTTTATGTTTATGCATTCGGCTGCAGAGCTACTGATAAAATACAATTTTTCAAATAATTTTCAATGTAAGGTTCAAAACATCACAATTTTTACTTTCTGTTAAAATTAAATTTATATATAAGATTTCTTAGCCCTCCGCTCAGGTATTTAAAATATTTCTAAGTCAACCTGCCATTTTGATTTATGATTTTTCAATTGAATATCTGCTTTTTCTAACTAAATATATCGAACACAAATAACAAAAGGATTATCCAATTTGATACAGTCCTTCGGAATTTATGCGTGTTATGTGCATACACAAATTCATTATTTCTGTGATTTATTTTCATAAATAAAGATGGATAATGAGAGTTATTTAAGAGGAAATGGAGTATCCTGAATCACAAAGTTTGATTTACTATTGTCATACTTTACATATATACCTACGTATATACATCACGCTTGATGACAATACATCATCTATTATTAAAATTCAATCACACAACTCATAGGTACACATTCACAAACTATAAATGCAGAATTGAAAATAGTAAATTTATAGTTACTTTGTAGATTTACTGAATATTCAGATAATTATTATTAGTAGTTATGGAAGAGCAAAGTCACCTGGCACTGGTATATTTTGCTTAAAAGGTGACTTCAATCACTTTTCAAGATGATACAAACAAAACATGCTATAAAAATTAAAAAAACCAGCGAGCCTTACAGTAGTCGCGTATGATGTGTAACATTTGAAACCTCACCTTATATTAGTAAAAAAAGAAATAAAACCTACTACAAGAGGAATAAGCCATTTGAACATTATATTCTAAAGTCAAAGCAAATAGCGCGCGCTTTCGCGACTTCCTGTTACACACTTCCGTCCCATTTCACTAAATCACTCCCACAAATTGCAGGAAAGCGAGACGAAAGATGTTACACATCAATAAATTATTATTACATGTAATTTTCTTAAACTGAGTGATGAGTCTGATGACTGTAACAAATATGCCTCATGATTAATACACATTAATCAAAATGTTGTTGAATAGAGGACACTTGAACAGACAGTTTAGTCAGTGTTAGTGCATTAGTCACAAGTGCATATTCGAAAGATTCTGAATAAATAAAAATGTTTTTGTATCCAGTTAGTAGAGGAATCTACCAAAAAGTAATATTTTTATTAATAGGTACGTATTCCTCTTGAATTATTGACAAGTAATACCCTAGATCTAGAAATCAAAATGGTTAACCATAACGTATCGCCTGCATTTGGTTTAATAAGCAAGAAGAGAAGATATGGTATTAGCTAAAAGTTCCAAGTGGAAATTAGAACACAATTAATTACTAAGACTTACCAGTTATTAATCCATAAAGGAGTGTAGCTGTATTCATAGCCCCGTTTGTTAACCATTTTAATAATAATTATCTAAATGCACTAAAACATTCTAAAGAAATACAAAGTTTTTAAAACTTTCTATCAACAAAAACAGTGTGACAGGTATTTTTTTTTATATTCCCTTTCTAAGAAGGCAAAGGATGCTAAGTCTATACAGTCTCGTTTTAAGGATTTTATATTTTTCACATTATTTTACATAACACTGCGGGTGCCTTTTGAAATGTAAAATGCCGCCCGCATTGTTATGTTAAATTGTTTTATGCCTACTTTGATTGGAAAAAAAATGGTTTGCGGGAGTCTTTTACAAACTCTGACGGGTTTATCTAGTCTGAATAGCAGTATCAGGGGCGTATCTTGAAACCTGGCGCCCCGGGCCATTTACGATTTGCTTCCCCTAGAATTAGTAAATCAAAAACAACACAAAATATATTTCAGTAGCGAATACCTACGTATAGCTTCTGCCGCCCCTTTATAGCTCTTGCAGCCGCTCCTCGCAGTCTACTGCCACGGGCCATGGCCCCTTTTGGGCGTAAGGCAAATGCGCCCCTCAGCAGTGTCGATTAAGCATGGTGGTTTTTTGATATCAGCCGCCAAATGAGCCATATATGTCCTAATACATAGATAAAGATAGATATGGTAAACCTGATGGAAGCCATGATTCTTGCGCTTGCACGCGCTCTCCCAATCATTGTACGTGGGTGAATCCGTGGGGCACTGCTAGTAGGTATATTATATACTAAAACCTTCCCAGATAAATACGCATTTATATCTATATGGAAAACCCCATCTAAATTGGATCAGTAGTTTTTGAGATAATCGTATACAAACATATTTACATACAAACATACAGGTCAAACTGAGAAAATCCTTTTTTGAAGTCTGTTAATAAAAAGACTTTATAACGCAGTGTTTTTTAAGATGCGGTCTTCTGTAAGGTGGAAGTATAACCTATTATTATTGGTCTATTGTGTAGGTAACTCTCCCCGATGGGTGTTCCAATTCTAAAGTAAGTTCCCGTGTAGGTGTACTTTCAATCTGGTCTTTCAAAATCTTCAAAAAATAACTTTTAACGAAATAAAATACAAATGACACTTAGACTTGGGCGTATCGTCATCAGCCTATGTATGTTCAGGGGAGTATTTTGAAAACTAGCGCCCTGGGCCACTTACGACTTCCTTACGTTGCTCTTGGTTTTGAAGTATACGTTTAGTTTCCTGCTCCTTCTTGAGCTATAATCATTAATTGTATATTGACATTATAAATAATTTAGCCGCGCATTCTTTACAAGACCTTTTTTTGGATAGGTCCGACAAATGACTCCACCCCTCCTGATGTTAAGTTACAATGAAATCCAGAAGTGAAGATACCTGGTACAGCAGTTCTACCTGCCACACCAGCCATCCTCACCTTGCCAGCCTGCATATTGCTTCTTCACGGCTCTTTTTAAAGGATCCCAGGATGTGAGAAGGCGGGAACACCTGCGCGGGCAAAGAATTCCACTGACGACAAAGAAATGAGTCACCTAATTTCTTTGTTCGTGTAGAAATAGTGGCCACAGTAAGTCGGTGGCAACGTAGGCCAGCGCGCGTGATGCTCTGAAGAAAAGGTGATGGAGGGATAAGGGAGAATAACTCCTCTGAACACTCGCCGTGGTTAGTCGGTAGAACTCACTTAGTGACGCCACGTCACGGTGTAATTGAAGAGGCTCGAGGTGTTTAGTCACCTCCTCATCGCCTATTATGCGGATCGCGTGCCACTGTAACCTATCCAAAGCATCGAGCAAGTACTTGGCGGAGCCATCTCAGAGGTGCGAGCAATATTCCACGCAAGATCGCACCTGCGCACAGTTGGTTTCCTGAGGCTATTTTTACCACGGTTTCTATGTAATCCTTTGGATTTAAGTCACAGCCAATTTCCATACCGAGCATGGTGATACTGCTATCGAGCTCGTGTTAAAGAAGGACATGAAAGGAATGGTGTGATTTTTGCCGTGAAAGTACCTACAGACCTGGGTTTTCTTAACATTGAACTCAACCAAGTTCTTGGTATCCCATTCAGAAATGTGGACCACATTTCTGAATGGGGTACCAAGAACTTGGTGGCCTAGACACAGTACCATCGTACAACATTAGATAAATAAGTAGATACCTAATACCTAGATAGATATTGGAAATTAATTGTCGAAATAAGTAGTTTACAAAACCAAAAGTGAAACTGCATTTACAGAATCATTAAGAGGCACTAAAAAGTTAACAACTGACATCATCATTGAGAGATTAGTTAAATAAGCTCTTCCCTTAAAACTAGGTAGCTGTTCAAATAAAATGCCAAGCATTAATTGAGGCATTTTCATTGAAAACGACTTTAATTTATAGCCACTGATTAATGTTTGGGTTGATCGTATTTTGCAATTGTAGAGACCCATAAATTTCGGACCCTCCAGT